ACTGAAAACTAGGTATTCCATCTCAGTCCTCAGGGGTAAGAACGCACCTGTATTTTGATTCTAAATTAAGGATAAACGTAGTGGACTGTGTGCACTTTTGTCACCCTTATTCTATTTTTAAAAAAAAAACGTGTTTGAGTGGTGGCTGTGCAATAGAATCCATCACTGCAATCTTTGTGTGTGGTAACGAGATTGATAACGATATTTTTACGTCAAGAGTAGATTATGCAGAATTTAGGAATATGATTATCATATATTTTATCTATTTCTAATCCAATTTATATAAACTATGCATAACAAATATTTCTGAACAATACATTAGTCTTCACTCTCCAAAAGTTTCTAACGAATTCTCTGTCTGTCAAATATTTCACCTCACTCCTAAGTAACGCTGCCTGGGAGCAAAATAGTCGTAGATGTCCTTAGGCACCTTTTAAAAAGACCTACATCTTTTAATTTAAAATGCTGATAAAGAAGAAAGAAAAAAGCTTAATAACTAATTTGAATATTTATTTTTCAGGTAATGTTACAGCAGATCGTGAGGATAAGTGTGGGATAAGCAATTCTCCAATCAATGAAGTTTATGAAGGATATGCAAATATTGAGACGTATCCTTGGTTGGGTGCTCTTGTTTTTCCAATGAGTGCGTATTTTTTATATAATTAATGGTGACAAACGAACGGATAGTCCACTTGGTGGTAAGCACGATGCTGTGGCCCATAGACAACTATATATATTCTCGATGAAAATTCGATTGACAATGTCCTACAGAGTTATTCGTGATGATTTGGGGGACGGCGGCCATTCCCAAGATTTATGCGCATAAATCTGATGCATGAGTGTGTGGTGCATTCTCTATTCCCTCATTCTCATAGTGCGTTGGTACAACAATCAGATTCATCCAGAGAGAGAGAACAGGAGCAGGACAAATAACGTCAACTTCTTGACTCGTGCTGACGTTCTGTATGAACATAGTTCTTCTAAGATCAAGACGACCCCATTCGTACTGCAACCAGGCTTGTTTTATCAGTGTATTACCCGCGTTATCAAGCAAAACCAGCACATCACTCAATGTACCTCGCCTTTTTTCCCTCGCAGCATCTTTCAACTTTTTGATTTTCTCAACGTAGATGAAAATACTATCTCACGAGAAACATCTTTTCAGTTGAATTTTTTTTAGAATAAATCTGAAAACAGGCAAGGACCAAGTTCCAACAGAGTATACTTTATTATATATTATTTGATCGCGTAGACTTTTCCAGTCGAGCCGAACATTCGTCCTACAACCATGATTTCTTTGGTTACGGTCGGGATCGGATTGTTTGCATATACGACAATACTCGGCTACAATTCCACAAATGGTGGTATCGTATGTTGGTAATAGGTCCTTACATATGAAATTGGCGTTTGTACGGGAGGAATATATTGTAATTTTTTTTTGTAAAATATATTTAATTAATCAAAGTATGCACCGTTGTTATCTATGCCCTTTTGCCATCTTATAGGTATTTCATTGATTCCTTTACTAAAGAAACCATGGGAGCGAAAATCAATAAACGCTTTAAAGGCGGTTTGGACTGGCCGTATCGGAGTTGAATTTTTTTCCTTGTAAGAAGTTGTCTAAATTCCGGAAAAAATGGTAATCTGTTGGAATAAGGTCCAGGGAGTACGGTGGATGTCGAAGACATTCCAATTGTAGCTCATCTAACTTAGTGGTAGTTTGTTGTGCAGCGTGTGGTCTTGCGTTGTCGTAAAGCAGCAGTGGCCTGGAGTGATTGACCAATCTCGGTTGGTTTAGCGGCTAGTTCTTCCTTCATGGTTTGCAGTTACTGACAATAGATATCTGCCGTAATCGTTTGGCCAGATTTTAAAAAGCTGTAGTGAACGACACCGGCGCTAGTCCACCAAACATGCAGGATTTGGCTGGGTCGACGAGCGCTTCCGATTATCGTACAGTATCCACTTTTCATCACAAGTAATGATTCGATTTAAAATCCCTTCATTTTTGTGTCGGTTGAGCAAAGTAACACAGCAGTCGACGCGTGTTTGCAAGTTCGAATCACTCAATTCATGAGGTACTCATCGTTCAAGTTTTTTTACTTTCCCGATTTACTTTAAGTGGATTAATACAGTTTTATCACTTACCCCGAAGCCTGCAGCTATCTCTGAAGTGCTTTGTGATTAATCCGCTTCCACAATAGTATTTAATTCTTCATTTTCAACTTTGGTCTCCGGCCGTCCACGGGGTTGGTTCTGAAGGCCGAAATTTCCAGAACGAAAACGTTGAAACCAAAAACATACCGTGCTTTATTTTTCGACACTAGCGCCATACACATCATTAATTCTTCGAGCTGTGTCTGCAGCACCGATGCCACGGTAGAACTCGTACTCATAAAATATACCGATATTTCATGTTTTCCATTGTGTGGTAATAAGCGACGCCAAAGAAAAAAATAATGAGGAAAAAGAAATAATAAATTTGAATTTGGAATTCTTAACCATAGAGGAGATATATCAGATCAAAGTGGTCAGTATGTCAAAACGCTAATTTCATATGTTGATGACCCAATATTTATGGTATGGTAAATGTATATGCATGTAAATAGCTAAGTAAATTATCTTATCGTTACATAAGTCTATTCACTCTTGCCTCGAAGACGCCTTTATTTTAATTGAAAGAAAATACAGATGCCGGCCGATCAGAGAAGTCTTACATTGAATCAGGCTCATAATGGTGAACCCGTTTCATCGCTACTAACTCGATCTTAAACTTCTTCCTTGTTCTCACTACATAGTGTAGTGCAGCCTACATGAGACATTGTATTTGTATTCCGAAATAGTCTAATTAAGGTCCTGGTAACAGCAACACGTCTCCCTATTTAACACCTCCTACATAACATGGCAACACTGCCAACTGTTGGAGTGGAGCGGGTATTCTAGGCACACATTTTGCGCACTCCTTTGAAATGCCTAAAAATCTTGTAGAAAATTCAAAATGGTTGTCCCGTTAAAGAGGTCGTGGCGTTAAGAGTTGATTGAGTCTCCTAATTAATGCACGAATAAAAATACCACAGAATGCCAACTTAAAATAGCAGCGTAATGGTTCTGTGTTTCATATGGTGAGTGTAGAGAACCGAAACCCTTTTTTGATCCTTAATTGAGGATGAATGTGGATGTCTAATGGGCCACAGCATCTACTTACTATCAGGTGGACTGTGTGCTCGTTTGTCACCCAATGCTATTAAAAAAAATATAAACCACAAACATCTCAAAATCTTACGTAAGTATACAAGACGCTTATAACGTAAGATTTAGTGCATATATAGCAATATCTCGTAAAATTTTAAATTTCCACAAACAACATTACCTGTAATAATCAAATTGAATTTATATTACACTAACTGATCACACAGACGTTGTTTGGCTTTTCCGACGACCCATTGCCCTATAAAAAATCCTTATAGGTGTTCGCAATAAAAATATTGACGGTCACTTATCTGGATAAAAACTATTCTATCTCTCCAGTTGGACCAACCCGCACAGTGTGCAAAATTTCATTGAAATAGTAGGTAGTTTAGGGAGTTCATCGCGGACAACCAATATGACACGTAATGTTTATACATAAAGATTACAATTGATTGAAAGATTACTATTAAGACATCAATAAAATTAATATCAAATCTAAATTTAATAAATAAAGAAAAATATAATAACAAATGAGATTGATACATAGCCTGTTATAAAAGTCAAGGGAGTCAAATTTCAAATCGAGTGTCAGTTTTATTCTAATGACAGTTTACAACATAAAATACAAAGATTTCAAAAGGAAGGATAGGCCCATCTAAATATTTTACTCATAACTTTTTCATACAAGAAAAAGTAGCGCATCTGTCATAATACAAACGTCATATCAAAACACGACGTAACCAGGGTCGGATTTCGTAGTATAATTATTCTAATTGTACCATTATTTCATAGTTTGTAGTATATAGTATCGTAATAATACTAAGCGAAAATACCATAATTTTACCTAAAGATCGACTTGTATTATTATTGGGTCCTTTTACATTTTAATTTTTTTATTAACCCTACGATATCGAGAATTTCTGTATTGTACATGAGTACCGCATTTTTTTTAATAAAATTAGAATTAGCTCCCTTTCGTCAATCGATGCTCGATCGATCCTGTTTCTTTTGCACTCTTTTCGTTTTACCCTTATTGAATATAAAATATAATAGGTACCAATTTTCAAAATTTAACTTATACTATGTTTTTTAGAGAAAGATTAAACAGAAATAAAAATAAAACCGTCAAAAAAACGAAACGTATACATAAATTAGACGCGTGACGCCAAAATCCAGGCACATGGGAAAAAAGAAACATGAAACGTCAAACGTGATATAATTATTTTTGTTTGTTGTTGCCACGATCCTGTTTTATAGTATTTATTCACATAATAGTTTCTTAAATCTACGCGAACACTACACCTTGAATAAAACTATATACACGGATATTATCGCGTTTAGTTAACTTATTTTTAATTCCCGATATTTCGGCTGCTTTACAGCGCCCAAAACCCGTGACCTTACGAAGAGGACTGAGATGTTTGACGTCCCAATGTCATAGTCAGCCCGGCTACCCGGAAACCTTCAGTTTTGAATATAAAATTTTATACACACGGTCATTCCAACTGATCAGTTCAAACTATGACTGTTGATATTTAAAAAAATTTCAAACGAACTATAGATACACGCGTACCTATATCGCCTTACATTAAGGGCGTTTCACAACTTATGGTCGCCACATACGGTAATTCCAAATGATCAGTTCAAACTAGAACTGTTGATATTTTTAAAATATCGAATTATCGATATATCGATAATAATAAATATATCGGAGTATTGCATATAAGTTTATTTATCGATATATCGAAAATCCGATATTTTGAAAAATGAAACTGAAAATGAACTATCTTTAAAGTGTGGTTATATTTTCACAGGTGGCGAGTTAACTACATCACCAGTAATATTAATAACGAGGCAGCTAGTCATCGGTGCAGCAGTTGAAATCGCCAGCCTACCCAAGAAAGACTTCAGGTTTTTAAAATAATCTAGAATTTATACTTGACGATACCAGTCGCTTATTTCGACTTCAAACTGCAACTTACTTACATAATATATTAGTTTATCCATAGAATACTATAATACATACATAATTAAACGGGGAAGTGGGCGGAGTCCACGTAGCCACTAAAATGTCACTAACACGTCAATTCACACATATAAATGTCAATACGATATGTGTTTTGACGTCACAATCGTTTCCAAATTGCACCCTATTTACAAATAAATATGTATTAAAATTTAATGATGATCTTGAACATTAATCAAAAGTCTAAAATGTGTAAATTTACTCAGTCTGTCAACATAGCGAATCGGGTTAGTTGACGCCAACCCTCGTATAAAATAAAGTTGACAGCCATTCTATTGTGTATTATAGTGTTCTATGGGTGTATGTATCCAGCATTGTGTTAGCTCAATATTATAAAAAGATAATCGATGTTGCATAAACATTGATGTAGATTTTAATATCTTTATATTGATGCTTTACATCCTTGCCTAGTTGATTTAGTGGTCGTAAACGAGGTTGTTGATAATATAAGGTTCCGGGTTCGAATCCCGGGTTGGGCTAAAATCAGTTATTGGGTTTTTCAGTGGAGAAATTCTCAGTAGCAGTCCTGAATCAAGAAGTAAGTAAAGTCTATCTTACGCCTGAAAAAATCTAATATGGACTTAACTAAAGACCAAAAATCTTTCCAAATATTATAGAAAGCAGATGAATGTAAGAAGCAGAATGGATCTAATACCGTGTTGTAGAGGTGTAATATTTTCTGGCCCACATCGTCCCGTGGTTGTCGGAAGAGGCGGCAGAGACAAACGGAAACAGGAGATGGGCAGTAGCATCTTCCAATAACAATAACAACTCAAAATAATTAAAAAAACTGCAGTGCATGCCAAGCAAGGCAGGTTCCTCCCTATGTAGCAATTTATGGGGGAGGCCTCTGTTCAGCAGTGACTGTAATAGTCTGTGATGGATGGATATATGATGTAATGCCAACGTATTGAATTATGGACTTAATGTTGACTTTATTATACATCTTAGTCATACATATACATAGTAGTCTTTAAGTAGTCTTACGCCTGATCTTGTTCCGGTCGTGTCGATACACGTGCTTGCGCATATGCTCGGGCAAAACGATCCTGTTCAGCGCAGGTGGCTAATCTCCGTTAAAACTGGCCGCTGCACGAAGACCAAAATTTGGTCTCAAGGAAATTAAAGAAAACAAATCAAGAAAACAACGAAACACTGATGTTGGGCTACATCCTGCTATAGTCAATATGGGAAAGATTTGCTTAATCACTACGCATGAAATGCAAATTTGAAATAGCAGTACAAGATGTCTTGCACCGTTGACGTTGCACCAATCCCCAGTCTGAGTAGTTTATATCTAAATGTAAGCTGAGCTGCGTTAGGAAAACTAGGACAAATCTTCTTGTGCGATAATCCTCAGAATTTTTATAGTTATGTAGTATAAGAACATGGTCCTTCACTACAGGTCGTGTGAGGAAGCTCAATGGCACTCTGCGTAGGATAAAAATTTGCAATGGGTGAAATGTATGCAGCGTTGATGGATTTTAACAAAATAAATTTACATCAAATCGGATAACCTTAGCATAAGTCTTATTTTTATTCGTTAGGTTATATATTATATTATATATTAGGTTTCGCTTAATTATCTTTACGTTAGTAAATAAAGAAAAACGCGATATCAGCAGTAATTCAGTACACACTGTACAATAGGTCAATATTATGAGTGTGTGTGCGTGCGTGTGTGTTGGTGTGCGTGTCATTTTACATGACTATTGTATCATTGAAATTTTTCTTTTCGTGATCGAGGTCCCATTTTGTGTTAGTATCATCGAAGTTGCTCTTCATAATATTGCATCATCAAAGTCAAATGACGGATTTTTAAATATTTTAACGTCGATGATTATAGAACATTTATGCTTCCAGGGCTAGGTCTAAAGTAATACTCGGTCATAACTGCACCGGTCCAACAATCAAGGTACTTGATTATACGTACCACCCCGACTTCCAGAAAACCACTTTCAGCTCGCTCGTGTTGATACAGTTGGACATTCTTGTTTTAGGACAAGGTAATGACATTCGTATGAATATTTTTCTATTCCGTGGCAACACGAAATTACATTTTATGACTTGTATATTTTTACTATTAGTCTAGACTTAATTATTCTGTTTTAATCATTGTATGTATGGAAATCTGGTGTATATGGTAACACTTGAATGGATGAATATTACGTAAAAATTTCATTTAGACGAATTTATAATTATATATTTGTCAAAAGCACTCCAGATTGGAATAGCCTCATCTACTTGTGAACGAATAGGAGTTTTATGAAGAATTAAGAAAGTAGATGATCGTTTAAAATCTTTAGATAATCTCATAATAATACTGTACTATTGAAAGGCTTTATTGATTATGTAATCAATATGTTAATCTTCATTATCGATCCGTAAATGTCTATTACTGGACATTGCTTAGGGATTTGCCTTCATTGCCACGCGTGCTAGACCAAGTTGCTGAAGAAAGGTATGAATCTGCCTAAATTATCATCATCATAATCAACCCATAATATTCCATAGCTGACATGGCTTGAGGTCACTAGTATAGTATTTTAGAACAGGCAAAAGCGGTATTGGCATTTTATGATATTTATTTCTATAACATTAGGTGACAAGCTAACACGCGTGGGCTGTGTGTTCTGATGTTAAGTGGATTGACTGAGTGCGATTCATAGACAGAAACCTACATTCTTCGTTTACAAATCAAAATGCGAATGCAACAACGAACTGAGATGGATGTCTTGTACCAGAAAAAGACTCACTTCTCGTCACTTTGTTGGTGATACAACATTTGTGGTGCAAAATAACGCTGCAGCTTGATTCCACCACGTAAAGAATCAAAAATTTTACGACCTCTTTCTGTAGTTTTACAAAAAATGTCTATAGACCACAGCATCCACTTACCATCAGGTGGACAACGTGCTTGTTTATCACCTTTATTCTACTAAAAAAAATATCAAAGACCGTGAGATCTTATAGGCCATTTCCATAGTCAACTCTTATGACACTTGAGCACTGGCGTGATGAGCTTGATATTCTTTCTTTAGTTTTACAAAATATGTCGAAATGGGTTAATGGTTACACTATGCCGTAACCACACACTAATTTGTAATGAGTTTTTTTTTTCGGCGGGAACTTGGCCGTAGACGGATTGTCGCTCCTGTTTTGTCGCTTGAATAATGGTTTGAAGTGGATTTTGATTCGTAAAAGTGATGCGATTTTGTGAATTAAGTGTCCGCGCGTGTGAACTATTAGAGAAAACGACGAAACAAGTGCTTTGATGTCGATATAACCCTCAAGTTATTTTGAACGCTTGGGCGCCTTATCAACTTGAGTGGCTGTCGTCATCAACTGTCCGCTAGGTTGAGCTGTCGTCAAAATCTCCCAAGGTCTTCGCAATGTGACGCATCAGCATATTGTGAAGAAAAAGAAAATAAAATGAAGATTCCAAAAAAAAGGATAGGCTCAGAAGGTCTAGAAACCAGAGCCGTAAAGCCAGTTAATAAAAAAAAAACAATTTGTAATTTATACGTGGTAGAGGCTGGTTTGACCAGAGAAGGACAACGCTTGCAGAGAATAACAGCATGAAATAGCAGCATAATGCTGCGATGAGTAAACGATAATACTTTTTTCCAACAAGACATTCCATCTTAGTCCTAAGAGGTGACATAAAAACTGCATTTTGATTCTTAATCTAGAATAAAAATGTTGGAGTCTATCGATATTACGTTTTATTTTTGATATTTAAAAAAAGAGATGGGGGTTGATAGAGATGGGAGTGGCTGTGTTTCTTCTTAAATTTATACTCAAACTAATAATGTTTATCTTTTTAGAGCTACGACCTATTTGCCCGCCACCGAACAAAATTTATAAGCCAGAATTCTACGCCATGTCTTTATCGAGAGGTAACATGTTATTATATATTGGTACATATCACTAATTAATTTATAAAAGGTTATTTTAAGTGCTGGCTATCTTAAGAGCTGTGGTAGCTCAGGGGCTAAGCGCTCACTGTAAATTGACATTTTATTCACAGTATACGAGTAACCCGGGTTCGATCAATGTCGGCACCAAAGAAATTTGTTAATTGCAATTTTAAGTACTGATTGACCACGAGCTCGGTGGTGAAGGAAAACATCGTGAATAACCAAGACATGTGAAGTCCGCCTACACGCATTGGGACGTATTTGCACTCGGTCACACACGCGGTGGATATTTCCTTGCCCTAAAATCCTCTCAGAAATTAAAGGAGGCCAGTGGCCAGGAGTGGGATGCATAGAGTCTTTAACTTTAAGTGCTGACTTACCAAGTGTTGACGATAAATGATAACAGAGAGAAAAATATTTCTAAGACATCTTAAGTCGCTAAAACCGCACTATGATAGTGCATCGGGTACTTACTTATGCTAAGCCCTTTATGAATTAATTGTTTGACGAGCAGTGAGACTCAAACAGGCCGTATCTTTGCTTTAACTTGACCTGTCTATTGGCGGCTCCGACAGTATTCTATATACTCTGTTACTCATTATGCTTAATGCAATCATTTTTTTTTAATATTGTTGCGCGCCATAATTTATACCTGGTATGTAGCTAGTGATTATTAGCGCCATCTAGTATCAAGGAGCAGAAACAGAAGCATCAAGATCTTTCTAGAACTCTCCCACTAGCGCCATCTAGTAACGAATAGGAGAACTAAGTATTCTAGAAAACTCCACACTCGAATTTTCTACACCTAGTCGGTCGGGGCTGGTATTTGCAGGAACATTCTAGATGTTTCGGTGTAAAAGGCCTATATAAAGCCGTTTAGGGTCGGGACCGAGACAATATTGAATTTGCGATACAAGCTAAAACTTGGAAGCGAAATAAAGTGAACTAAAGTGTTAAGTTCGATTAATTATTAGTGTGTTTTTAGTTTTAAGGTGGCCCTAGTCGATAGCTCGAACTAAATGGTGGGTGGGGTTAAAATTCATGCTATCTCAGCCGGCATCACGTGCTAAAGGGATAGACGCTGTGATGAGTAGTAAGAAGCTAGTGCGCACACACATACGCACTCCTGAGTGACGCAAAGCGACGGCGTTATCGCGTACCTACATATTGCGATTCTTTTTTGAATGACAACATAAACTCAAACCGCAATTGAAAGCTCCGTGTTGCAGTGGCTTGGCAATGAGTTACAGCGCTAAGGGCCGCGGGTTCGAATCCCCCACGCAACAAATATTTGTATGGCCTATAAATAGTTATTCCGGGTCTGGATGTTTGTCCTTGTGCAATTTATGTTTGTAAACTGCCTCCACGATACAGGAGAAAATCCTACTGTGGGGGTAACGTATTTTGAAAAGAGAAAAGAGAGAGGAAACAAATTGGTGTTATTATTATGAACCCAATTTAGTTAGATTGTGAAAGTCATAAGAATGTTGCTATTATATAATAATTTCATTGATTTTTTTTTACCTACTTTTTAACCTACTTCGAAAAAAGGAGGCTGTTCTCAATTCGTTGGTTTTTGGTTATGTATGTTCTGTTCCCCGATTTCTCGAAGATGCCTGAACCGATTTGGAAAGTTATTTTTTGGTTTGAAAGAATATACTTTCCAGAAGATCCCATGGTAATCGATGATGGTCAGATCAAGATGATGGGATCTTGGAGAAATCGAGGGAACTCTTCAATAAATGACAGCAAATCAACAGCGATTGCTGCTATCGCGTATCTGTGCATTCTTTACGCAACCACGCAGTATAATATCACGCCTGTACCCACTAAAGGGACATAACTCTCAACTAAAAATAGTAACATTAAAAACAACACAGGCCTCTGCTCATATCTGAGAGGGCTTTAAGGCAAGTAATTGTCCGCCGCGCTGCCCCAATGCGTGTTGGCGAACTTCTCATGTCTTCGAAATATTTTTTTTTTCTTATTTCTCTGACATGCAGGTTTCCTCACGATGTTTTCCTTCACCGCCGAGCACGTGGTAAATCAGCACTTAAAATTGCAATTAACAATTTCATTGGTGCCGGCGGGGAACGAACCCCGTTTGCTCGCGTACTGTGAAATTTAAAGCGAGCGCTAACCATCTGAGCTACCACGGCTCTTAATTCTTATGTACTTACATAAATTACATTAGGTATATTGGATATGATATTCCTATACGTAAGCACGATTATCGAAAATCTAAGAATTACCTATTCTAATTAAATTTATAGATAATTTTAAGATTTTCGACAATCGTGCTTATCAATGAGATGTTTTCGTTAGTTGGCAAATTAAAGTAGTTAAGTACCTAATGTACTACCTGTATCGAAAGTTCATTATTATGTACCTACCTGTTTTCAATTTTAACTACATGTGCTTCAACAAACTTATGGGCACATTTTACCAGCTATATTCATCCCGGCTTCAGCAAGTGGACACGAACAAAAGGAAGCAATTTTTTAAATAAAGATGTAGATATGTAGGTATTACAACCATAAATAGATAGCAGCGGCTAATCTAGTGAGCATGTGTGGGTGCGCGCTGCGCCCCCCCCCCCCACCGTCCGTCCCACTGATTGGGGAAACAATTTGTAGCGAAAGGCAAGATGATTTACAACAAAAAGGAGCGCGCGAAATTTTATAAACAGATCTTTGGGAGTCTGGATGTCATGAAAAATCTATTGAATGTATCTGTTCAAAATAAAATTATTTGCATTTTTGAACAACTAATCTATCCCTATATGGAACTGTTTTGCAATTTTCGTTCTTCTTATGGTATTTATTTCCGCCCTAAGATGTGTTAAAAATAGTGTTGAAATTCGGAATTTTCGACGCTTATAACTTTTAAACATAATCTTTTTTTACTTTTTTGTTTCCATACAGGGCTAGATAATGATGAGACAAATTGAAATCATTTTTTATTTTGTACGTACACCATCAAACAGTGGAGTAATCGCCAGACTACGTTTGTATGGAAGAACAAGTGACTAGTGTACCCTTAATTGATGTTCGGTAGTAAAATTGTTAATTTTGGTAATTCAATCAGCAGCTTTTACTATCACGAACCCTAAGCTCGTAACAATTGGTGTCAGAAGTGGGATAAAATCATGCCGATTTTACCGAAGGACAACACGGAGGGTGTCTGTACCCGAAGTCAACACCAGCAGGAGACGGACCAGAGAATATTTGGTGGTGCAACGCCGCAGACGTCGGAGAGCAAACTGTCAGCCACGGAGGCCGACCCGTTGGCAGCTAATACACCTACCTACAGCACCTGACTTAGGTGCTCTCATGATGATGCTGCAGGAGCAGGCTCACTGGCAGGTCAAACAGGCCCGATGGTTGAAAGAGCAGCAGGAGGATTAGGCCCACCGTCAGGAGGAATAGAACCGTCGATTGGAAGAGCAGATGCAGCGCGGACATGAGGAACAGGCCCGTTGGTTGAAAGATCAGCAGGCGGAACAGGCCCGCCGACAGAAGGAAAAGGCCCATCGACAGGTGGAACTGGCCCGTCGTTTGGAAGAGCAACTCAAAAGCGGTAAAGAAGAGTTGATGCTCCTCATGAAGGACCTTCCCGCTACCTTCGGGAACGAGATAAGGGAGGTGAGGAATAGGGTTGCTCAACATGACAACCGCCTTTAAGAAGCTGAAACCAAAATCAACCAAGGGAACCGTGTGATGGCTGACATGAAGAAAACGCTAAACGACCTCAAACTTAGGGATGAAATTATAATTATAGCTCCCGTAGTAGCTAAAACACCTTCGCTACGTGGATTTAAAGTGCCGCCGTTCTCGTGGGACTTATTCATGGTTGGCCTACAAAATCCAGTTCGATGCTTTCATGAAGGCTAACGGCTGGAATAAAAGTCAGGCCGTGACTACTTTCACACTAGGCCTGCGCGACCAGGCCTTAACCGATCTGAAAGATCTCGGTAAGGAAGTGAATTACGAGCAGCTCCTTGAGGCACTAAAGGCTAGTTATGGCAACGCTCACCTGGAACGCGTCTTTCGTGCGCAGCTTAAATATCGCATGCAACGCAGCAACAAAAACCTGCAGCAGTGGGCCCTTGAGGTGGAGAAGCTGGTTCGAAAAGCATACCGGTCTGTACACGCGCTCATTAAAGGAAACCTGGTGCAAACATTTATCGACGGCATCCGCGACCTTTAAGTCAGAGCTGCTGTGAGGCTCGGGCACCACGGGACGCTTAAGGACGCCTTGGCCCATGCACTGGAGGTGGAAGCCGTGCGGCAGGATCATTGTTCCCATCGCGTCAGGGAGGTTGCAGCCGCTACAGTTCGCGACTGCAATATAGGATACAGCCCTAGGCGCTATGACTGTGGGGAAAGGGGCCATCTTCGATCCAGCTGCCCTAAGCAAACTTAGAAAGGGAAAGTGATCACGATACAGTGCCCGCAAGCAGCAGAAATAATACGACTTTGTGTTCGAACATCGCATTGGGAAATCTCATGGCAACGCAGATGCATTTTCAAGAAGACCTTGTCCTGAAGATTGCAAGCATTGTACTAGCAAAGAGGGTAAGCAAGTGGTATCTGTGAGAATGCTCAGGATAGACCACCTCAGCAACGAGTGGAAGGACAGATTACAACATGCACAGCAGGAAGATCCGGACATCAAGCCGATTCTGGTATGGATGAAGGCCAGTGCTCCCAAACCGAAGTGGAGAGACGTCTCAGCGATGATTTCGACCACGAAAAATTATTGGGCCTAATGGGACAGCTTGCTGCTTCAGGATGGAGTTCTGTGCCGTAAATGGGAAAATGGTTGGGGAGACAGCTGTCATTTGCAAATGGTTGTCCCTAAAGCTAAAGTACCGGATGTTCTACAGCTGTACCATAATGATTGTTCAGGAGGCCATCTGGGAGTTAAACTAATTCTACTGAAGATCCGGGAATAGTTTTACTGGATCCACTGTCGAA